GGAGGGGTTGGGGCAGATTTGAGGTTTGTTCTACTCTGGGGCCGGGGTTGAAGTGTTGGTCGCCTTCTTACCCTAGCGGAGGCAGATAGGGGACAAGGGGTGCAAGCTCCATCATAGGAATCTGTGGTAGTGGAGGGGTGGTTTAGTGTAATGGCAGTCTGCTAGTTTACCCTTCTTCTATCCTCCCTCTGGCGAACTATGTGGTGGAGGAGGTCGGCTCGTTGCGAGGGGAAGCAGAGTAGAAGGGGGCGCTAGCAGAGAAGCCTGACAAGGAAGCATCAACAACCGAAAAAGCCGTCGTGTTTCGCCTGGCGGTCACTTTAAGTGGCATAGTTGACTGTAAGATCTTGGCTTCAGTTTTCTCTCAGGTTTTTCAAAAATGATCTAAACAGGTGAGGATTTTATCGGCTCTGCCCTTTTTCCATTTCAATAATACGGGCAATTCTTCATCGACGGTGCGACAAGAGTCTGGGCTATGGGGCTGTATTTGGAGCATTCTCTTCAGGATGGAGGGAGCCCCTCTCTGCGAGGACTGCATAAGGAGGGAGATGTGGTTTCTTGAGGGAGAGGGGGCGGACACGTGAGTTCGCTTTCTTCTGGGCCTGGGACTGATCTTCTGGGGCAAAGATCCGGCCCGGCGGGGGCAGATGAAGGCAGAGGTATTGGGATTTCGCGGGAGGGGTAGAGGGCGACTCCAAAGGACATGAAGAACAGGCTCTTGAGTGGATGGTTGGTTTGGGACTACTGGTATCATTGGGAGAGGAGAGAGCCTTATCCTGCGGGCGGCTGCGGCAACAGCATATTGGAGGGAAGTGCTGCATCTGAGAGGGTAAGGGCAGTAATTGTGGGTTGCGCTACTCTGGGGCTGGGGTTGATTGGGGGGTTGACCTTCGGTGGAGGCAGGCAGTGGGCAGGGGGACAGTCTGTTTGGGGTGACAGGCAGGGAGTCTTGGTGTCGGCAGGCTGATGAGATCCCTAATTGTCTTCAAGTTGAAAAACTACAAGAAGTCTCTGTTCCAAAAAATAAATTGTTCTGCAATCTTTACTTCAATAGATGCCTAATTAGTCTCAAGAAAAAAGAAAAAAGAGTCTTATTGCCTGTTGTCCTTCGCCTCTGTCGTTTGTTTGCCTGTCCTCTCGACTCACCCTTTCTCTCACAACCATCAATCTGAGCTCCTGCCAGGATGTGTCAATAAGGTCAAAAAAAGAAAAAGAAAAAAAAGGATGTGTCAATATGGTCTGTGGTCTGTTCATACGTCGGGATCCCAGTTAGTCCCAGACTAATGTTTCGTCACTTGTAGCCTTGAAATGAGCAGTTTTGAAAAAAGGTCTTCTGGTGTGAAGTTTGATCGCTGGAGTTTATTCGTTCATTTCATTAACACAAACAAACACACAATCATTTTTCGGATGTATTTCCTCTTTCTGAAAATTTTCCAAGTACTTTTTGTGTGTCCAGGCGAGCACGTCAAGAAGTGCAAAACAGTTGGTGGTCAGTGGCTTACGTGGTGTGCCGCTTTCTTGCAGGACTCTTAGGGTTGGGGGGAAGGGGGGGGGGGGTTCTGTTCGTGATCTCTGAGGTGCATCTGGTTTAGGGGTGACGAGTCTGATGACAGGCGTCCGTCAGAGTGACTCCCTGGCTCAGTGGGTGGTGGGAACCAACAGTCTGTGGGGCTCACTCGTGATGTGAGTAGGCGACGAGCCGCTTCACTCTGTGTTGGATGCGTAGACTGCCTTGTCTGGGATCAACCACTGCCTTGCTGCCCTTCGTGCTTGCTTCGCATGTCGTTGTTTGCAGGTGTTATGTTCACTGTGAGGTGTCGCTGTTGGTGTTGGTGTTGCCTTGCGTTTCACTGTGTTGCTGCCATGGGGCCCATCCGTATGCCTTGCCTTCCACGTTCTTTGCTTGTGTGCCATGTACTGCGGCCCATACGTGTACCGTGGCTGCTTCGCTGCACTGTTGCTGTGCTGCTCGTCCACTTACCGTGTCATCCATGCAGTTAGTCCTTGGCGTTGTGCAGTTCGGTTGCTCCGCCAGCGTGGCCTGGTGCTTCGCTGAGTCATCACTTGCTGCTGTGTTCCGCTTGTGGAGAGTCTGCCTTCAACGAGGGTCAAAGGGTTCATGAACCAAAACCATTAATACGGGAATTCCGCAGATTGTCAAGGGTTCATCCTCCTGACGAGTCGGTGCAACTGTGATCAAACAATCTTTCATCATCAGTTTCAGTTTTTTTCAGTCTTTAGACTCTTTACTTAATTCTGGGACTTTTTTTTTAATGTTTTTCTTGTTTCCTTTGGTTTGCCTTGCGACTGTTTGGCTTGGTGCTTTTTTCTGTTCGCCGACTTGCCCACCAGCGCCCCCCCCCCCCCCCCCCCCCAACTATACCCTCCAGCCTATGTCCCATGCTGCAGTCTGGCATCCATTGCCCTATTACCATATGCCCTTTGCGCCATTATCCTTTGTCTGCCTGGTCTGTCGCTGCCTTATGCTGTTTGCCTACCCAACCACCTCTGCCGTGCTCTCCAGTCTCTCCCCTCCCCCTTTTTTTTTCATGTCTGTTGGTTCACTTTCTTTCTAAGTTCTTCCCCTCGCTGCCATGTCTTCATTGTTATGCCATTCAGCCTTGATGTCTCGTGCCTGCTTGATATGCCTTCTGCATGACAATGTTTGTGTTCCTTTCTTGGGCATGCCTGGGTGCGGGCTCTTTGCTGAGTGTCGCTTTCAAGCATAATGGCCGATGGGACATGCCGCGATTCGATCACGGGAGTTCTATTCCCTCAAACACACACATCTTCGTGACATGTTAATTAGCATGGCTGCTGCAAAAAGGATGGCATGCACACATTGAGAAACAGTCCAAATCTTTTCGTTCGGAAAAAGAAAAAAGAAGAGTTAATAATGCATGTAACCTGTTTGAATGGAAAACAAACAAACAAACAAACAAACAAACAAACAAACAAACAAACAAACAAACAGACAAACAAACAAACAGACAGATAGGCAGACAGCCTGGCAGGCATATCGACAGGAGGCAGCTAGGCAGAGATGTAGAGAGATTTGAAAGGGAAAGATTGGGAGAGGCATAATTCAGCATCAACAGAGTTTTCAGACAAAGCAGATGGTTGGACACACACATGCCCAGACCGACAGACAGACCAACAGGCAAACAGAGATACTCTGTGAAGGTGGCAGTGCTAAAGCACCAGAAAGGTCATGGGTTCAAGGCCTGCTCGCGCCACACGGAGAGTCAGTCAGTTAAAGGGACTGCCCGTTGATCGGATGACCGAGGAGGGCTCAAGGTGGTAATCCCGATGATAATCTCGGCTACAACGTAATTGCAGAAAAAAGCAATCACAACAATAGCAACGCGGCGGGCAGGCGGGGGATCAGGGTGGAGGACGCATAGCTGGGCAAGTCTGCAAGGAGCTGAGTGCATGGACACGAATAGGACTCAGACGACGAAGAAGAATCTTCTGGAAGTCCTTCATAGAGGTAAGTTCCCAACAGAGTGCCTGTAGTTGTCTTGGGAGAAATGCTTAGAAAATTAGAAATCCAAAAAAAAGAAAAAAAAGAGAAAAAAAAAGAAGTAGCTTTCACCACCATTACGGCAGTCGTTCCATTACCAGCAGAAAGAAAGGAAAACAGAGAGGAAACATAAAAAAGGAAAACAGAGAGGGAAAAAAAGAAAGGAAAACAGAGAGGGGAAAAAAAAAAAGGAAAACAGAGAGGCAAACACCTACTGCTACTGGACTGAGTAGTTGATGGGCAACCCCAAATTGTCACTGCTTTGGGCCTCACAGGTGGAATTTGAACCCAGCACTACAGCCACAACACTGTTTGATCTGTCGGCCGATGCGAGTGCCGGGTACGAGGAACATTCATGCATGTGATGGATAAGCGTCCGAAGTAGCTCGGCTCCACACGACCATAAGCAACAACAACAATAATCATAATCACAAACGAACGACAAAGAAGACCAAAAAAGTTTAAAGCAGCCACTGTTGGCGTCACTTGTATTGCACACTTCTAAAGGGTCTACTTCCCAATGCCACCGAAAGAAACGAGACAATCTCTGAAAGCGGAAAATACCGAGGTCCAAAAACAACCTGACCTCTCTCTCTCTCTCTCTCTCTCTCTCTCTCTCTCTCTCTCTCTCTCTC